CTGGGGAGACCCTTTCGTACAGTGGAAAAAAAGAAAAGAAAAATGTAAACCAGGCCATTATTTTCTATGGATTTTGGTTCATAAACCAAAAATTACGTAAATTGATGTGTTCCTAAACCGAGGTATTGCTGTAGTACATTACATTGGCTTGTCCCATAGTTGCACATCGAAGGTTTATTTCACCTTCACAACTATGGGTGTGTGTGAATGTTTTACAATTTTACAGATGAGGAACTAAGACATTTCAGGTAGAACTTAAAAAATCTTGTATTTTTCCTGTTGGTTTTTTGTGACCACCTGTGTAAAGCTGGTAATATGTTCTGCCAAAAGCCCCTCATATAACAACAGGCCACTTAGAGTGAGCTCACACTTATATCTTTCCTCATTCAGTAGATTCTACATTAAGAGAGGGCATGCATGTTGAAAACAGCCTTTGCAGATTAGACATGTTAGGCGTATGTAGTGCAGTCCTATCACCTCTTCCATCCCCTCATCTTTCACCTTCAAGTCAAAAAGATTTGGTTCAACAAGATACTAAGCCTTCTATTAACTTTCAGGAAAATGAGGCCTTTTTACAAATCATAGACAACACTGTACACCAACATAGAGACATAACATTGGGGGAAATGACATCTTGTGACGATGGACTTGCATAGAGTTACTTATGCTAAAAGTTATCATGTGTATAAATTGTGGAGAGTGATGTTGCTGTTAGGAATTCTACTGTAGTTGGCGGTTCATCTGGACCCTGTTTTCTGCCTTGTTTTATGGCATCACACCTTTATTAGAATTCAAAGGACATCACTATTGATAGCTCCTGTCCAAGTGCAAATGAGTTAATCCCCAAATATATTGAAGAAACACAATTTCATCAGTATGAATACTCTGTCTGCCAATGAAGGTCACAAGTTAAGGCCCATCCATACTGAACATTTGTACCATTTTCTGTGCACACATAAATTCGACACTACATCCTGCCCAATGCAAGGCTGAAACTAGTATCAACAGAGTCCAAGTGAGACCAAAAAATCCCTGATTTTCAGGGCATTTTACACCATTCCCACGTGGTCATATATAGTTTTTTGTTTGTTTGTTTGTTTGCTTTGCTTCAGTTTTCTCCTGTGCAGGATCTGCCAATGTGGGCTCTGGTACCCCGCTGATGTGTGCTGATCCATATACTTGGCAGAAATGTAGGCTACTCTGTTGACAGTGAGTTTGAGAGTTGATGAAGTATTATAGTTAGGCATCCTTCAGTCTCGAAAGACTATGGTACCGTGCTCTGTATGGAGGACTTGGAACAGCGTCTAGTGTGGCTGAGGAGGCCGATTCGAGAGTGACAGTCTCTTCCACACTGAAGACAAATCCAATCTGTCCCCTGTCCAGCTCCCTGGTTTTGCTGCTTTTGTGACTTCCTCTTTGCCTCAGCCTGCTGGGCAAGGGTCTCTTCAAATTGGGAGAGGCCGTGATGCAATGCCTGCCTCCAGGCTGAACGCTCAGATATCAGGGTTTCCCATCTGTTGAGGTCCATTCCTAAGGCCTTCAGATCTC